CAGCCCGCTCAGAGATGTGTATAAGAGACAGGTTATCATCTTATGTCTCCCTCGAAACCTTACAACTTTTGTCTGAAACATTTTTTCCTAGTGTGCTTATTTTTCGAGATATTCGACTGGATGGATTAAAATGGTCCACCCTGTATATATATCTTGAGCAATTAATAATCATTAAAAATTCAATTAATTGTAAAAACTCGTAATGTTTTTATACTATAGAGATGGATGTTACAAATTGGACATAATTGATAATTGATTTTTTTAGAATAAAAATGAAAAAGCAACAACAGCGAGCAGATGAAGAAGATCAATAAAGAAGATACGATCTTTAATTGCATTAAAGAATAATAATTTTTTTTAAACTTTCTCTATGATCTTCCAAACTGACGAATTGATTTTATTTTATTTTTTTTTGTGTTAAAAGACATGAACTTCAAAGAAAGAAAAAATTAAAAGACATGAAAGTTAAGAGACATCAACTTCAAAGAAAGAAGAAATTTATATTAAAATCAAATATTTCGTTATTTTATTTTCATTTCATTTTATTCATTTATTTTATGTAATTGGTTTTATGTAAGTGGGAATATGGCTTCGGTCCCTACGATTCGAGTCGCTACTGTTGTATCGCTGTGTCGTTTACACCTTACCCCTGGGGTAGCCAAGAGCCCAAGAAAGGGGGTTCAAGGCATGCCGGATGCACATTAGCCGTGGGGTGTGCATTACCGACGTTTCCGTAATTGGTTGTTTTATATTACATACTATATAAAAACATGTATTATATATATATTGTGACGCTGCAGTCCGCTGCGGCGAGGCAGCGTCCCGCCGCCGTCACAAGGCGCGGGTTCGCGCCCCTTTTGCCGGACCGACGGCCGCGTCGTGAGAGCGAGACCGAGATCTCCGGAAGGCCCGAATTTCAATCGCGTATCTGTTATTAATTTTCGTTGAACCTCTTATATGTACCGCGGCACCTCACCGGACCAACGGAGCGTTAGCAGAGAGGACTCAAGGCCATCGACAGCGGAAAGGAGTTTGAGTACAGACGACCTGGCGCTGGAGCAAAGGGGACACGCACCGGGCACGCGGCGAGCAGGTGACGGAGCGCGCACCCGCGGAGCGCGTGAGTACGCGCAAGGATACAAGATCCGCCAGGAGCGCGACCGGGAAGGCGGGCGTCGGAGCTAAGGCCCGCGAAGGGCAATACGGCCGGCGATTTCCCCAGGGCCCGGGGCCATCGCCGAGAGCTGCCGGGGCGAGATAACCAACTCGTCCCGGAATTCAAGGGCGAAGGACGCGCCCATCTAATACCACGCCGCCATATCCCGGATATAGGGCGACCTCGCGCGGGCGCGAGGCGCCCGCATGCAGGATCACCTTATTGCGCCCGTGCCACGGCAGGACCCCCGCGGCGCCGTGATTGGTCGCGGCCGACTGCGCCGCTGAGTTGCGCACCCCCGGGCAGGAGGTGCAGGCATCGATCGCGAATTAAACGCGATCTACGTCGCTTTTGCGTGCGAGTGGAGAAAGCGTGCGGTCGATCAGGCGAGCGAGCGACGGAGTGCGAACGACCGAGAACGAGAGAGCGAGATTGAGAAAGACGAACAGCTGTCGGTCGGACCTGCTGTCCAGGAAGCTGAAACGGAGATCATGCCGGTGAGGTGACCCTCTTTATCGCGTGTAAAGCCACGGGCTGATTGAGAATCTTGCTCGCACTCTGCGGACGGGAACGCCATTTTAGTGTCAGAGTTTCATCGCGTGCGCCCCTTTGGCGACGCGTATCTCGTAGTGCTCTTTGGTTTGGTGTACCGGCGTCCGTCCTCAAGTGCGAGGATTCTCATCAAATCTGCCGTGAGCGATCGGGAGTGTCGCGAGTCGTGTATCGAACCACCCGGAGATCGTCGTCGCGAGTTCGCCGCAAAGCCCTCGCGCCTGAGCGCGCGAGCGTTAGAGTAAGTGTGTGAGCACGCGGAATCGCGAGCGTCGTGCGTCGCGCTGTAGTGTGACATCGCGCGCGATTTCATTGCGTATCGGTGTAAGTCAATGTTCTGTCGGCTTCGTTTTCGTACGAGTATCCGACGCGGAAGTTTACGATCGACTGTCGCGGAAATACTTGTTGTCGTTAGACCTCGGTACACGCGTCGTACCGAGTCCCGTCCGTTATTGTACAATCGCGCCGACTAGTTCTGAATGAGTTTCTTTTTGTTTTCGGCCGAATTGCAAGTCTATTTCGTGTCCTTTTCTTTCGCTACGCGGGAAGTGATCGCGTGTCGGGTTACCCGCGCTGGGTAGCGTCGACTCAATCTTCTTACTTCCGTATTTTTCTTACCGCACTGTATTATCTTTTGTGTCTATCTCCGCCGTTTCTTACCGCCTTTCCAAGCGGACAATAAACCTGACTATTATTTATTTTATCATGAATTCGGAGTACGAATTCTTTCGCCCGCCCCGCGCCATCCCATCGCCCTTTTGGCCTCGCCCTGCCCCTCTGCCGTTAGGTAGAGCCAGCCGGCCTTCGTGCGATCGACTTCGGGAGTGGCGTTTGGTCGTTGTGTGTAAAGCTTTCTTTCGCGCTATCGCGTAATCGTCGGGTTTCGCGAGTGACGTGACCTAGAACACGTCTGGCGCCCAGGTTTCGCGCCGCTGCTCCTTGTCGGTCGCCCGAGGGACACATCCTGGAGGGCGGACACCTTCCCTCCCCGAAATCGAATGCGATTTCCTCCCTCTTGTTTGATCCTCGCGCGAAGTAGTTATCTCACGGGAGCACGTGACTATATATATATATATATATATACATATAATAAAATATATAATGTTTATACACATGTTTTATATTTCTATTATATTTCTAAATATTAATTCTTTTCAAAGAAGAATTGAATTCTCTAATAGAAAGCTGTTCTCTTATTGGATATTGTACGTCGATCGGTATCATCGGACGCTTTGTGAATTCTCCAGTATGTATCCCACGGTAGTTGATTCTATCCCTCAGAAATTTGTACAAGCTCAAAAGTAATCACTTTTCTGCATTAATGCTTATAGTCTATGCACGATTTTGTTTCATTAATCGTGAATGGACTGTAAGCATAATGTAGAAAAGTGATTACTTCTGAGTTTATGAAAATTTCCGAGGGACAGAATCAATTACCGTGGGTGTACATACAAGGTCCTTGGCATATTGTATGCACATTAATACAACATTCCCTGCAAAGTTTCTGGA